AGAGTAGTTAATTATTCATGGAGTGCCACTTGTCAAAATGCCATCTCACTACTAGGTAGACATCCTCCCCTTGGGACTGCCCCCAAGCCTGTTGGCTAGGTTAGGTGGGAAAAACTGCCCTCTTTCTGCCTAGGCTGCTCTTTTTCTGTGTATTAACCAAACCTAAGTCTACAAATATTTCCTTTTGTTCCCTCCTTTTCCCCTCCCTGGCCTTCACCCCACATCCTCAGATGAAATACAACATACTGGGTATAAAGCAAATAGATTCATTTTCTAGCTGGTCAAATATTCATACAAAATTGTGGAAAGACACCTACTACACTGGCCCTGGATTAAGCCCAAGGAGAAACTTTATGATAAACTCAATATTATAATAAACTTAGCAATACACTCTGACAATTTTTAAGAGCTTTCCCACCCAATGAATTCCTTAAGGTGGACTCACTAGAGGCAAGAATGCTAGAATGCACAGACAGGGATAAATTAGCACATAAAGATGAGATGAACAATAATTATTTTAAAAGTCAGAGGCCACCTGTGAAAGAGGTGGGAAGATTTCCAACAAATAGGGGTGAAGTCTCACAGACCAGGGAGACAGAAGAAGGTAATCCCACTGTTATTTTTTGGAACTGGAAAAATGACAGCACAAGAAATGGAGGAAAAGAAATACAGGAGAGGAAAGGTTGTGCCAGGGAAACAATAAAAGGGGCTAGGATTAGAGAAAGAGACATAAGAAATTGGGATTATTTTGAAAGCCTCAACACACAATTTTGAATGCAGTGTGAAGTAAATTTTAAATCATAGTACTAGGTTTTTCAGAGCCATAAGGTTAAATATATGATACATTATTAGTGCCATCTTTCCAGCATAGCCTGTCCCAATGATAAGAATTAGAAATTCAGTGAGAAATTTCCTTTGTGATATGGATGAAACATTCTTGAGAAGAGTATTATTGCTAATAATAGCAGTGCCTGAAGGATTTTGGTCAAGATCTTGATCTGGTTGTTCTGAAAACAGGGAGATGAATGGGATTTGCCTCAATTAATTTTGAGGGTCATACAAAACCAAACAGAGCCATAAAGGATAGAGTTTGAAGAGAAAGGAAAACAGCGTTGAGAGCATGTATTAATAGAAGCTGTCTATGTTCAATTCTCTATTTTGTCTCTATTTTAAGAGACAAAAAAGAGAGAGGATAAATCTTTAGAAGCCCACGTACAGTGCTTTGGGATATTTCTTGATGAAATAACACATGTAGTTGAAATGAAGAAGGTGATGGGTGATGGAAAGGTGTTGTTAAGCTTCCAAAAAAATCCTTGTGATGAGCAAACTTGGAGAGAGATACTTTTTGGGATACAGAAGAGTTTCTGTTGTCAAAGGAATTAAGAGTGGAGTGGAGCTAGAAATGGGCCAGAAGAGCAATATTATATAAAACAGCAAAAGGGAGCAAAATTGCATGAGTCACGGGGATGGAAAGGACAGGAGGAAAAGGAAGTGGGAAAGGATAAAGCAAAGAAATGGAAAACCCTTCAGAGAATGACTTCCATTCTAAGCTGCTGAAGCAGGATGAGGGCATAAGCAGGCAGCATGGCTCAGCAAACCACCACAGGTAGGGGTGGGCTTGGTGAAAGTGGCTGGGGGCTGGGATCCCAGAGAAAGCAGGGCATGAGGGGCTGGGATGGAGAACAAAAGGCAACTATGGCAGATGGAGAAGGTGTAAACATTGACCAGAGGGAATGGGCAGGAAGATCTGAAATCACTACACGGCACTCCTCACAAGCTAGGTAGGATAAAGCGTTATCTCTGCAGCTTTGCATTTTGTGGTTGTCAGGAAGTGAATTGAAACTCTCCAGCTGCTGGCTTGTGCCTGGCTGCTCTGGTCCCAAGGAACTGCTGTCACGGATGGGCTCTGCTGGAGTACGGTTGCGTGAAAGGAGCTTGGTTTAGCTTATCTGTGCTCCCAGTATTGAACTTCACTTGTATTTGCAGCATGTTGTAGACAGGGTGATGATATGGATGGTGTGGGCTGCGTATTGACATTGTTCTCCTAAGCCAGGACAAGCAATTTCAGACTTGGCACAGAAGGTTAAGAAATGTTTTTAAGAGAAGCTTGTTTCATCTTCACAGCAGTCACTGCTAATACCAAAGGGGCACCATGCCAAGACTGGATTGTCTCATAATCCAACTAATCCCATTATGCCAAGCTTTGTGTGGTCCCTCAGTTTGGTAGCAGTCTCAAAAATCACTCTTTTTATGTACTGATTGCTAACCTAGTATGGGCTGAGCTGAACAAGGTGCTCTGACCCTTTAATGCACTGACATATCTGACTCCTCATAAAGCAGCTCAGCAGAAATATTTTTTTAACATTTTATAGTTTTTTGAAAACAGTTTATAACCAATACCTGCATCTTCTTTCAGCTCATCCAAATGCAGCTCCTCACTAAGCGAGGTCACGTTTGTTGTGGCTGCTACCGTACTCTCTTGCTGCACCTCTTCTGAGGCAAGCGCCTGGCACACAGGAGCTGGAGGGTCACTCTGCGTTGCTCTCGTGGCATCATCACCAGTGCAGGCTTTGCCTTCGGTATCTAAAACACAAAATTGTTTAATCTTAACTTAACCATGAGCAGTGAAAGCTGAAACTCCCAGCTATCCTCTTGAGAAGAGCGAGTCTCAAAGCTGCTAGTGCTCAGGGGATTGAGATTCGTCTTAGAGCAGCACCTTATTTCTAACAGTGCTGAGCATCTGTAATGCAAAACTTGTGGAGACCAGCCCATCTGGATACTAATATCCACCCAGTTTTCTCAACAGGGCACCTTTTCTGTGGGCATCCAGCAGCCTGGGCAAATGGCCATTGTACAGAAAGGGCACTGTACGCTGTCAGCACCTGCTGTGTGTGGGAGATGAGTACAGGCATGGGAAATCAGAGGTCTCTGGGAGAAGGCAGTTCCTTGCACGAGCAGAGCTCATGGTGCAGCGTGTACACAGGTCAGTCAGATGTGTCTGAGTTTGTTAGGCTCCGTGCACACCACGCCACCATCCAGCTGCGCCAGCAGTAATGCCAGAGCCTTTACCGAAGGCAAGGCTGCTAATATTCCCGTACCAAGCTGTAGGTTTTGAGCATAGTTTTAGTTATTCAGCTTTGAAAAGCGTGTTCTGTGTGACTGAGCTGATCAGAAATTCAAATCCCTCTTCATGCAGACCTAGAAACTGCTCCCTTTGCTTACTCTGAAAGATTTTTGTGCCAGTGATCCCTGCAGCTGTACGCATCTTGATGACTGAAGCTTTTCTAGTATTCTCCTATTCAGGCAAGAGTCCTCAGAATACAAACTATCCTTTTACTTCACGACTCTCTCAGAATTTACATGATCTACATCACTGTTGCAAACCAAAGCAATTACTTCCCGCTCTAGCTGGTGTGCCATGCTGATGGACAAGGCTGCTGCCCATCCCTGACCTCCTAACTTGTATTTCTCAGCCTAGACACTCCTTTCTGGAAGCTCCTGACAAGGCTAGGTTTTCTTGCAATGATATCATGACAAGTTTCTTGAACATTGATTTAAAATAACTAGCATTCCTAGCTACTCCTTTTTAATACTATCTGGACAATCTGCAGAGTAATTTATTGCCCTTTTGGGTAAGGGTATCAGATTTTGGCCCAGAGATGCTGCGGAAGGGATGCAGTATTTTTGTATGCTGAGCTCACTCAGTCTGCCTCATAATCACGTTTGGTGAAAAGTTACTGTTCTTAAAATAGCCCCTGCAGTAGCACAGTTGCTATGATACAGGGAAGGGGAGGGGGGAAAAAGTTCATTGCCTACATTTCAGCTCATTGTGAAGGCAGCCTATACATAATCATCGGTGTATTAACAGCTGCCTGCATTATTTGACAGGGAGCCCTTATCTCTGAGTGCTGTAAGTGCAGCTACATCTGATCAGTTTTGTACTCACAGTGGGGAGAAATATCGGGGGAAGCTCCCTAAATGTTTTCAAGGTAACTCTGCACGTTCCTCACATCCTTTGGAAAGGCAAGCTGCTGACAGCTGTGCCACAATGAAACTGCAGTCACAGACACGAGTTCCTTCGGAGCCCAGCCGATGGAAACTGTAATGACTAATGAAGTAATGACAAGCAGAAGACAGCCCTGTTGAAGAATTTCTGTTGAGGAGCAGCTGAGATTCACAACAGTGATGGTCCTGGTCAGAAATGATCAGCTTGTGCTTAGATCAAAGTGGATGTGCTGCTTTGATTGACAGTGGATCCCAACACCGTATTTTAGAGATAGTCCGGGGACAGGAGAAAACACAGACCTTAGATCCACTGGTAAGGAAAGCAGCAGAGAAACTTGAGCGTTGCAAAGTAATCAGAAGAAGTAGGGCTGTAATTTAGTTGGGAACGAATCCCACTGTATGCCAGACCCTGGACCCTGTAACCTCTTACAGAGTGCAAGTCGGTTCCCTAGAGCAAAGCTGTCTTTGCCCTGTGCGAGCAGAGCCGGAGAGGAGAAGGGGCCCAGGCTGTGCAGCATCATCTGCACAGTGTGTCTGGGCAGCTGGGTTTTGGGGTTGTGTGAGGAGAAAGGGTGACATAACCTGTTAGGATGACTCATCGCCAAAGCAAGGACGGTGCAATTTCACCCTGGGCTGCTCGCAGATTGATGCAGATTCTGCGCTAGCTTTGTGGTTTGCTCTGAGCCAAACAGTCCAGTTCAGAATGCTGCTTGACAGACCTTGTGCTCCGAAACTGGAGTGTGACACAGCTATTGCGAATGCATGAAGCAGGTCTGGAGAGATCTCAGACTACAGCTTCATCCAGTTTGGGCTATTTATGAAAGTGAGCAGGAATCAGGTCTCTGGAAGTGAAGTAGAGCCTGATGAAATAGAGGGATTTTAGGATTTACTGTAGTCTTTTAGCATAGTATTGCTACTTTGACAATTGCAACTTACTGCATAAACGAGGACTTAGCCTTGAAACTGCTGCCACTTCAGCTCAGTCCAAGTAGGGCACTAATCATTTACTGAGAATTATTTGGGTCAATGTTTGATTCCAGTTAATAAGCTGCTTCTACTAATAATATAATAAAATAACCCTGGAGATTCACAACACTCTGTAAAGAAAAATAACTTGCAGGCAGCTGCAATGTCCTTCAGCTGAGCGTTAGCCATTCTTTCCTTTGTGGGCAGCAGGGTGGTGTTGAAAATTTGTTTGATGTTTATAGGAGCTCTATGCAACTTTATTGCAGACAGGTAAGCAGCCTGCAGCTGCCTTTTTGAAAGCACAGCTTGTCATCACTTCTCACTGGACTATATGTATTTATTGAAACTCTTTTAATTTTGTTAAAATGATCTTGCAACTTAGCATCATCTGTTTTCTTCCCAGCCAGTTCTTTATGCGTGCAAGTTTATTGATTCATTATTATTATTACTTTTTAATGTGCTCTACAGAAGTTATATTTTACTGTGCTTTGGCAAAGTTGTAGATACCCATGTCTTCAAATTCATGGATTAAGGGGAACTTCCATACTCCTAGCAGAAATTGAGTGTATTTTTCTATCCCATAGTGCTAATATGCTAATAGGCCAAATAATTATCTAGAATGATGAGAGACACAAAGAGTTCAATGGACAGAGAGCTTTCTAAAAAATTCCATTTTAGAATACACTGATGGTTTGATAGATTTTTTTAACTTGAACATGAAACTCGTATTAAAATATATCCAATAAAATAATATGAAAATTGCTTTACTGCAATGAAAAAAAAATCCTGTTTAAAATGCTCTTTTTCTGACTCTTCAGTTGCTCGGTTACACTCCAGCATAGCATCACTGAGTATTGTCCCACAGGCTATTTATAGGCATGGCATTTATTTTATACAAAGAAACTCAATTATTAGAATCAAAGAACATAATTTCTATCTATCAGATTGGTCAAACTCAAAAGGCCAATCTTCATGACAGTACTTTCTGCTATAAAGTTTTCAAAGTAAAGATGGATTTATTTTTTTTTAATCTCTGTTTAGGTGGCAATGGCAACTGGGATGTTGTCCATAATGTTCGGAGCTCACTTGATCTCGCATAATAGTCACCCAGCTCTGTCTCCTTTGAGCATCTGTCAGGGCTTTGGAGCAGGGGTATACAGAACCACAGCCCTTTGCACATGTTTCGGATGTTTTATCATCTTTCATTCAATGATTTCTCCTGAACCTGGTTTGTACATGGGACAGCTTTAAAATGACACTACCAAATGCTTCATTTTTCCATGTGAATGAAAAACAGGCAGAATGACAATATGTTTTGTCACAAACTTGGTTTAATGGAAAGACAGCTGAAAAACATCAGGCTAGTATCATTTTATGAGGTTTGAATTCACGGGTTGTACATGTTAGCTGAATGCATCTGTATGTTTAAGTTTATATTTATACCAGCTTTAGCTGACTTTCTTGGCAGTAGGATTTATCTAGGTTTAGAGGAATTGCATAAAACAGCCGTACCAGCTCAGATTTGTACCATGTATAAATCAAGCAAAGATGGAGTTGCAGTCAAGATGGTAAAACATCAAAAATTAAGCTGCATGGATTGATTGCAGCAGGGAGGAATTTGAAGAAAGACATGCTTAATTCAAATATTGAATTTTCCTCTCTGTTTGGATTGAAGGTTTTCCTTTTTATTCATTTGAATGTTAGGTTTCTTCTTTTGCAATTATGTGTTTCCTATTGTCCTGAAAAAGACTTTGATAAAAAAGATAAAGATTTTTTATGTACCTTGTTCCATCATCTCCAGAAGGCCTTTCTTAATGAGTTCATCCCGACCTTGTCGTGCTGTCATCTTCTTCTCCAGCACTGCACAAAGTAGTACAATAACACAGCACCAGTTAACAGAGTGTTCATGTAATGGAGTGAGAAAGATGCAATGTGGAATTTCCCACTGGTCTCAACTACTGTGTGCTTGGAAAGAATCACAGAATCAGAGAATGGCAAGGGTTGGAAGGGACCTCGGGAGATCATCTAGTCCTACCCTCCTGCTGAAAGTTCTTCTGCATATTCAATTGCAACCTCTTATGCTTCAGTTTGCGCCCATTGCCCCTTGTCCTGTTGCTGGGCACCACTGCAAAGCGTCTGGCTCCGTCCTCATGACATCCACCCTTAAGATATGTGTATGTGTTGATGAGGTCCCCCCTCAGTCTTCTCTTCTTCAGGCTGAACAAGCCCAACTCTCTCAGCCTTTCCTCATAGGCGAGATGCTCTAGTCCCCTGATCATCCTTGTTGCTCTCCTCTGGATTCCCTCTAGGAGTTCCTCATCTTTCTTGAACTGGGGAGCCCAGAACTGGACACAGTACTCCAGGTGGGGTCTCACCAGGGCAGAGTAGAGGGGGAGGATAACCTCCCTCGACCTGCTGGCCACACTCCTCTTAATGCACCCCAGGATACCATTGGCCTTCTTGGCAACAAGGGCACATTGCTGTAAGGATTTTGTTTTGGGGAGCATGAACTGGTCAGCCCATTTGTGCCTTTTCCTTTGTTGAAACAGCTGTAAAAAATCACCCACATGTAGAGCTGAGATTTATGATCTAACCTACAGCCTGATCACACTGAGTGCAGAGTTACTGGGGTTTTAGAGCCTTTTTCTGTTTAATATGGCACGTGGAAGCTGCCTCAGGAAGTGGTGTCCTTGGCTGTGATGCTCTGCAGGATGTCAGGGCAAGTGGAGGGAATTGCACCGTCCTATCTTAGGAAAAGGCAAGTGAGTTTGTCTCCTTGCTCATGTCCTGGGACATCCCTGGAGACTAGCGAGAGCATGCAGTGCTGTGTGCTGGGCTCCTTCTCTGCAGAGCCTGCTGCTTGAGGGAAGGCATTTTACGTGCCGTAGCTCCCTCCTGTCATGTTTCATAACAATACTACATAAACTTCACCCCAAATAAAAGGGGTTGACAATACTTGGGCCCATAAATGTAGCCCATTTTGGAGAAGGGACAGCCCATGAAAAGCAGTCTGTGTCGAGGCTTGTGCTTCACTCTTGCGTTTTGACCCTTTCTTCTAAATGTACTATATTGTATTATACAGAAAGTCAGCCTATATGGGCTCTTTCTAGCCTTAAACATTATTAATCTGTAACATGCTGGAATCTCTGAATTAGGTTTAGATCAGGTTGCCATTAACTTTTCCTATGAAAGCAAATTTCGCCCAAGCTAAGCTTTACTCTGTGCAGCATCACTCTTGTTCTCATCCTACCTGCAGATGTCTGCTTTAGCTTCTCATTTTTCTTTTTCCGCCACTTCCATGGTTTGAAGATCCTGCCCAGTGTTGCCAGTTTGCTGTTCCTCCTCACTGGCGGAGTTCGAATCCCTGAGACCAAGTAGTCAGAATGCATTGCAGGGGACTGCTCCATCTCATCTGAGAGGGGAAGAGAGGAAAACCAGCTGTTTAGACAAAAAGCTTCAGCATAGACGTAAAAAGGGGAGGCAAGTGGAGGCTCACCAGCTAACAAGCATTCAGGCTAGTCACTGAGATAAGCAGTGCAGGACTTTTAAAGAAAGTCTCTGTGTTGCTGGAGCCAATGGCCAGGCCAAGGGATGCCAGCCAGCGAGGCATTCAGCCTCTCTGTGCCAGCCCGGTGCTTCCTACCAGCTGCTCTCTTGACTCTGGTCTTGCACAGTACCTGTCTGGATGCCAAATATTTCAGTATCTCCACTGCTGCTGTCCATCATGGATTAATCAGGGCTATTAGG